GGGGTAGCTAGAGGAATGGGGGATTTACAGCCCTGACTCCAGCCCATGTGTTCTCTGCTTCCTGGGCTGAAATGAGGAGTGAGCCATACCATATAGTCCTGCTACCATGGAAGGAGCTGCCTGCTACCATGCCTTTTCCAGCCCCATGACGAGCTGTATCTCCTGACCATTGTATCATCCCTGTCAAGAAAGAAAACAAAGAGTCTGGCAGTAGTGGTACACACCTTTAATCCTATCAGAGGCAAGCAGATCTCTGAGTTTGAGGCCAGCCTGGTCTACAGAGTGAGTTCCAGGACAGCCAGGGCTACACAAAGAAACCCTGTCTCAAAAAAACAAACATAAAAACAAAACAAAATGAAAGAAAGGAAGGAAGGAAGGGAGGAAGGAAGGAAGGGAAGAAGGAAGGAAAGAAGGAAGGAAGGAGAAGAATAAAGTCTGTTTGATACTGATCTGGTTTGGTTAGAAGCCTGAAACCTTTCTATCCAGGATATTTTTGCATTAAATCCTGGAGGCTGCTCTACAGTTGTTTTTTAGCCACTGCTGTGTTTAGTAATATGAGAGCGTGGTTCTTTGTATGGAGTTGTGTACACTTTTCTTTGCATAGTTGACTGTGTCAAATAAGTTAAAAAAAAAAAACCCTAAAAGTTATAAATGGTAGTGGACACCTTTAATCCTAGCACTTGGGAAGCAGGGTCAGGTAGATCTCTGTGAGTTCAAGGCTAGACTGGTCTACAGAGTGAATATCAAACCAATCAGGTATACATGGTAAGGCCCTGTCTCAAAAAATAAATTTTAAAAAAATTTAAATTTTCTTGTAAAAGGGGTTGGGGTTAGAAAAATGGCTCAGCACTTAAGAGCACTGGCTGCTCTTCCAGAGGACCACAGGGCAGCTCACAGTTGTCTGTCCAGGGGATCAGGTGCTTCCTTTTGACCCCTGTTGGGCACCAGACACATATGTGGTACATATACAGACATGCTGCCAAAACCCTAACACAATGCGCACAAAAATAAAGAAAATCTAAGAAGAAAGAAAATAATGGGCAGCTAGCTTTATCAAGATGAAAGAGAAAAAAGTGTCCTAAGTTTAGAAGATGAGCTGAAACCCCAGGGAAGGCACAGGGTTTACAATCCAGAGTGCTAGGAAGGAAGCAGCCCCAGAGATTTCTGCCAAAGGCCCCTAAGAATCTGCTGAGCATGGCTCTCATGAATGAAGAAACTGACCAGACCAGGGGAGAGGACCACCCGAAGGATAGGAAGGCAACAGTGCCGAGCACTTACCAGGCCAGGAGAGTACCTGCTCTCACTAGTAACTATTTACATTATTTTTTATTATTACTCAAAGTACCTTAAAAGTTAAGGTGCTTGTTTAAACAAACCAGTATCAGTGTGGTATGGGTTCTGTAACATAGCCGTTTCAAAGAGGGGAGAAATGAAAGCACATTATTTCTTACTCTAATATCACTTGACTATGGAAAGTAAAAAGCAAATACTATAAATGCCACAGTCATACAAAAAAAGCTTTCTGAAGCAAAGACACACACATTCTTTTTGGACACAGGGTATTGCTCCACATACAGTCAGAGTTGGCCCAGCCCTCTCACCTCCATCCTGAGTGCTAGAGCTGCCAGCAAGCAACACTATGCCTGACTCCACAAAAGTGCTTAGCAACCCAGGCGTGGAGAGCATACCTATAATCCCAGCACTAGGGAAGAGGAGGCTGAGGCAGGAGGGCTATACAGATTATTTTAGCAAGTTCAAGGCCAGCCTGGTTGTAGATGCCCAACCTGAAAAAAAACAAAACCCAAAGCTTAACAAACTAAATACAAGGAGTACATATATATGCTATTATGTGATTCATGTTAACAAATCAAAACAGAAATTTCATTGACTGACAAAAAGCATCTGGCCTAAAGTCCAACAACCAACCATTCTGATTAACCCAGGCATTCAGGAGGCCGAGGTAGGTGGATCTCTGAGTTCCAGACCAGCCTGGTCCAGGACAGCAAGGCTACACAGAGAAACCGTGTCTCAGAAAACAAAGAACAAATAAACAACTCTCACCAACAGGAACAGAAGGAGAGTTTTCAAACTGATGTATTGTACACACACACATACACACATACACACACACACACACACACAAACCAAAGCAAAAGCATGCTTGATGGTGAAGGACTTAATGTTTTCCTCAGGGATCAGAACTGAGGTACCTATTATGACATAGCTATTATGAACAGGCAAGAAAAGGAAACAGATTACAAGCACAGAGGTCAGAAAGAAAAAATAAAACTGTTTTTGCTAGTCAATGATCCGGAGACTACCAAGAAAGTGGAACCTCTAGAAAAGCTAAAATATGCTAGAACTAAGTCAGTTTTAAGAGGTTTCAGGACTCAAGGACCAACTCAAAAGTCAGTCATTGTGATACTCATCTGTAGTTTCAGCACCCAGGCAGGCCTGAGAACTCAAAGTCAATCTGAGTTCAATTCCTAGATCCCACAGGTGGCCGGAGAGAACCTACTCTGGACAGCTGTCTCTGACCACATGTGCATCTGACTGGTTCAAGGCCACCCTCAGCTACATAGGGAGTTTGAAGTCAGTCTGAAATACATAAGATCCTGTCTAAAAACAAAAAAATAAAAAGGTCTAGCAAGATGACTCACTTGTTACTTTTACCACACCTGACCACTTGAGTTAGATTCCTGGACCCACATCATGAAAGAACACTGGTTCCCAAAAGCTTTTCTCTGGTGTAATACACACGCACGCACACACAGTGCAAAAATAAAGTCAAAACAACAGCAGAGTACAACGAAGGGAGAAACTGAGAGAAAGGGGGAACAGCTAAAACGAAAGCCACAGACTACGAGAAAACATACGCAAACTATGCATTTCATAAGATTTATAATACGAATCTATTTTACAACTCCTTTAAAACAATATGAAAAAGATGCAGGATGAGTAAACAATGTGAACAGACACCCAACCAAAAATGCCCGGATGGCAAACGAGCACATGAAAAGACACCCAGCATTAGTCACTCAAGGGTGTTAATTATAGCCATAGTCATACACTATAGACCTCCCAGAATGCCTAAAGTTAAAGATACCACAAGACAATGTATGGTAGATGTAGAAAATTGTTCAACCATTTTGAAAACCAGCCTGTCTGGTAGGTTTTGAGGGTTGAAGTTTTTGGGGGATGCTGTTTGTTAGCTGGGCTGGGTCCTGCTGGGTTTTAGCTCCTAGGCTCCTGCAAGGAGCTTCTGGCCCAAGGTCCCAAGGCCTACATGTACATGTCAGCAAAGCCAGCTATTTATTTTAATATTATTTTCTCATTTGTTTAAAAAACATTTTTACTTAATTTTTAACTGGTTTATGAAAGTGTAAATATGGGTTATGTGATAAGTCTAGGAGTTCCTTTAAGATTAAAATGCTCACCTACAATATAATCCATCCCTTCTAGCCCTAAGAATATACCTGGGAGAAATAAAAGCCTAAATCCACACGAAGACAAACACGATCATTCAAAGAAGCTGTACCTGTAATACCAAATCAGGGAAATGGATATAAAGACAATGACACACACATAAGAGACTCCTGACAATGACTGGGAAAGGACCAATGATACCTGCAACTACACGGGTGAGATGTGAGACAGGGATGCTGCTCCAAAGAAGCCAGACTCTAAAAGGTCACTAACTGGTTGCCATTTACAGAGTCCTAGGCACAGCAAGCCCAGGGAGTACTTTAGAGCAGACCAGTCCCGTGAAGGTGTATGCTTATATATGTGCTGAGAGCAGAATTCTCTCCACAGAAACCAGTGAACCAGAACCACTCTGGTCATTCCAGGAGAGCTTGACACCATGGACGCAGCAGCTAAACTTCCGGTGTCTGAATGTTTGAGAGAGATGAAGCTGACAGACGGGTTGGGTTTGCAGAGTCGGCAAACCGGCTCCTCCAGCACCACTACCCCTTCTTCTGCCCCCACACGAGAACCCTATCTCCACCCAGGCCGGGTCAGAACTGTGTATGGGAGTCCATCTGACTCATAAGCGCACGGTGGGCTAGGGCAGAGACATTCCCGGTGACAGATCTGAGACTCTGAATCCATCCCACTGGTGAGCTGGAGATGCAAGAGTTCTTGACAAGGCTAGAGAAAGAAAGACAGAGGCTGTAAGCTGTCAACTTAGCCCACCTGGCCAGGAAAGAGGTGGGCTCATGTGTCAACAAGAAGTCAAATCTAGCCATTGGCCTGTACGCTTCACTTCTAGGCGGCGCCAAGAACGATCCAGGCGTCTGAGGTGAGAGTGTGAGGAGGTCTTACTAGGATATCACAGGCTTCTATTTGCCAGCTTCCAGAGTGAGGTCAAGGCCTGGGTAGCAGCCGCTGGTCCATCTTCCTTTCCCATTCCATTCAGAAACGAAGACCTCACCAGTTGCTCTCCGCTCTTCTACCCAAACTTGGCTTTGCGCCCACAGCATAATCAACCGTGACAAAACCGTGTGGCAAGGCTCAGGCCAGGCTCGTGCCCAAGTCACTACTGGCTGCGACACTCACGTGACCAACAGGACTACAAGATAAGGCACGGCTAATGCAATGGCTAATGCAACACTGCCCATTTCCCCTTTCTGGAGGACTGGAGGCCAGCGATGCAGGTTGCACAACATCTTGCACAGAGAGGCACACCTACCTCCCCCAGCAGACAGGTGGAGGGGGATGACTTAGTCCCTGCAACTCTAGCCCTGGGGCTATCCTACCTTCTCTTCCCTCTGCCTATACCAGGCAGCCATTCAAATGGTTTCACAGCCTGTCTAGACTTGAAAGAGGTGACTACTCCACTACAGCTGCTGCTACGTACAATTGTATGAGGTGTGTGTGTGGGGGGGAGGAGGATGCTTCCCAGGTTGGTCAACCTGAGAGGACAAGGGACGTTTGAAACCCATTCTCAGGTGCTTCTAAACACATCAACTTCAGCTGGTAACAAAATTGGCCTTACCTACCTGAGTTTTCAGCTGTCCCCAGGCAGATACAGCTTCGAGGATGCTCAGACTTGAGGTAGCAGAGAGGATCTTGCAGGCCAGAGCCTACCCTCCAGCAATGGCTTCCAAAGGTCAGGTTCACAGCGTTCTTCTGTTCCCCAAACCCCTACATTTTCCCGCATTACTTTTGGCACTAGAGCAACCCTGATGCCAGCAAGGCAGTTTGCAGATTACCACCGTCTTCGCCGTCTGCGCCTGCGGGTCCTGTGTCCCTCTTGGAATCTCTCTCCCCCAGGGGACCCTTTACCGTTCAGATATGTTTCCTGAACAGCCCTCACTACCTGGCCCTCTTGCACCCCCGGCAGCCAATTTGCTTCCTGCACCCCCAAGCGCCCTTCTCCTTCAGGCCCCTGGGGCCCTACAGGCCTGGCTCTCCCCAGCAGCTCGGGTCTGTCCCCACTCCCTGAGGATGCTCCTAGGAGCACCGCCTCCCCGCCCAGGTGCCTGCAGCTTTCCCAGCTGCGCTCGTCCGAACTTTCGAGCTCCTCCGTGTGCGGGCACGAGCCGTCCGCCAACTCGGGCAGCTCCTCCGGCTGCCGCAGAAGCCTGCGTGGGCTGCCCTCCCCGCGCTCCTGCACCCCGGCACGGGCCTCGCCGCGCTCCTGCACTGCGGGGCCGCCTCCCCCCTTCTCCTGCTGCTGCCTGCGGGGCCCCAGGCCCTCCTCCTGCGCCACCGGCCCGCCGGCAGAGCCCGTCCAGCGCGCCGGGCGCCTCCAGTCCGCGGCGTCGGGCGGCCCCCACACTACCCCCAGGCTGGGCTCGTGACCGCGGCCGCCCCGCTCCTGCACCCCCAGCCCCACGCCGCCCTCCTCCTGCACGGCCGGACCCACCCCGCCCTGTTCCTCCACGCCGAGCTTCAGCCCGCGAAGAAGCTGCGGGCCCCAGCTGAGCCGCCCGACGCGCGCCGGCTGCTGCTCCGGCAGCGCGGGGCTCAGCCCGCCACGCTCCTCCTGCGCCCCCCGCCGGCGACCCCCAGCGCCCGCCGCGCCGCGCACGCGCCTGCCCCCCAGAGGCCGCGCGCTCCCGCCCCTCCAGATGGTGCTGCCCTGCGCGCCCCCGCCCCGCGGCTTCCGCCTCGGCCCCGAGCGGGCCCGGCGTCCCGCCCTCGCCTCCCACAGTCGACCTCGGCCACCCCTGCGCCGCGCCGCAGGTGCTGCGGCCCCGCGAGCCCGCGGCCCTCCAGCCGGGTTCTCAGAGCCCGCGCGCGCCTGCGCCGCCCCAGGGGGTGGGTCCCACTGGGGTCGCTCCGCCTTCTTAAAGGGCCCTGGCCCTTTTTTGCTCTCCCCCCCTCAAAAAAAGTGAAGTTCAAAATTAGGAGGTTCCATCGATTAATAAATTCAAGTGAGAAGAAGTCCCGGAATAAGAGTCTGAATTTAGGGGGAGGGATGGCAGTGGAGAGGAGGATAAGGGGCAATGTAACACATTGAGACAGGGAGAGTCTCACTAACAGCCCAAGCCAGCTTCGAACTTGTGACACTCCTTGCTGTTGTCTCCTGAATGTTTGAAATTCTAAGAGGCATTTCAACTCCTGCAGGTTTGCCCTGTGAGACTGAAAACTCACTTCTACCTGTTCTCAAGTGCTTCTGCTTCAGACACTGGAAGCATTCCATTCTTTCCCTTTCCAGAACAGGGGGGTTTGTCTCCAGACAGTTCTCTTCTGATGGGAGCTTTGGTTAGAAATTGCCCTCCCAGTGCCATCATCCTCCCTCCCCACTCCTCCCTCTTGAGTCCTCTCTTCCTTGCACACATGTAGCCTTCTTCTCCCCCAGGAAGAAAAAAGACAGTGGGACTCCCAGGGTCAATGCATGTGATCTAGCCCAAACGGAAGCAGGTCTAGACAGCAAGATCTAGAAGTCACGGGAGAGACCCATGACTGCCTCCACTTCATCTATAAAGTGGACATAATAAAATGAGGATGAAGGGTCAGCCATCAGGGTAGGTAGGAATAAGTGGCTGTCTCTTTGTGTGTGGGTTAACCTTGGACTTGCTGTACTTGTACAGCATTCTAAATTCTTGAGAAAAGCTGCCCCTAAATAACTAAGATGTTGACAGATAAGCATACTTTAGGTTTTCAAACTCCAATTTGGTAACCATCAGATAACGTCAGAATGTATAAGGCCACTCCTTATTCTAGTCCTGTGTTTCACCTAACAAAAAGCCATGCAAAACACTGTGAGTTTTAACTTGCAGCAAAGTAGTGTGTGTGTGTGTCTAAAGGGTTACCGAAACCCCCTAGGCGGTCAAGGTCAAACTAACACAGTTTAGCTAGAGAAAGAAAACAAAAGAAAGGAAAGAAAGAAAAAAGAAAGGAAGGAAGGAAAAGATGCCGGCCCTGGATAAGGAAGACTTCTTTCTGCTCATTACCAGTCCAGGACTTTTTTTTCTTCACTTATAAAAGCTCTTTTTTGTCAGGTGGTGGCATACATCTTTAATCTCAGCACTCAGGAAGCAGAAACAGGCAGATCTCTGAGTTCAAGGCCAGTCTGGTCTACAGAGTGAGTTCCAGGACAACCTGGGCTACACAGAGAAACCCTGTCTCAAATTAATTAATGAATTAACTAACTCATTAGTTAATTCATTAATTAATAGTGCTTTTGTGTTTTGTGCACGTAATCATCTTGGGGGAACAGTAACTCCACTCATCTCCTGGGGGTAAACATTTTAATAAGCTTCATCTTCCTCCCCTTCAACCCTTGACTTCTGAGAGTCGTTGGGTTTTTAGGGAGTGGGCAAGCGGTCTTGGGTCTGCTCTGTACGTGTATGTCCAGTATTGGGATCAAAGGCTGTGGCCAAGGGGCTGAGTAGATAGGATAACCACATAAGCCACACAGAGCCTAATCTGGGAGGATTTGGGTCATTGTCGCTTGCTCTGTGAGGTGAACAGAGAAACATGCTGAATCATTTCATACAGCCCATTCTCTTGCCTGGGAGCCGAGGAGTGAATATTCTGTACCTTAGCTCGGGTCTTCCCCCTTGTGTGTGAGAGGCAAAGGAAAAAAGAGTTCAACGTTCCAACCTCTCTTATACCGTTTGCCTCAGTAACTAAGATTTCCAGAGCCTATGAGCGTAGCCTCACACTCTCCTGTCCTGTCACCCACAGCAATGAATATATATTAACAGTCTCAGTGTACAGCGACAGGACTGAAGGCTTGTGGGACTAAATGGCTTTTTTTTTTCCAGAATCTCGAAGTCGACAGTCATAGAGCCAGAAATCACATCCAAGTGTCCGACTACATAATCTGTTCTCGGAGCCACTCAAGCAATAAAACAATGCCAATGCAGGAGCTGTGCTGCAGGAAAACATCAGGACTAACGAGATTTTAGCCATCAATAGATGCAAACAACAGATTTGGCCAAAACGCCCCTACCAGTAAATCAAGCTCCAAATCAAACAAAACAAGGGGGTCAAAGTGATTCTCTTAGGGAAGCTTTTCCTCCCCTCCTCCCATCTCTCATCCAGTTGCCTTCAAGAGCAAGATCTGTGGCCCTCACCCATTCTTAGTCCCTGGTTATCCGGGGCATCAGATCACAGGGACCGGAAGTCTGCATCCCATCCTGCCCTGCTCTCCACCAGGGCATTTAGTGCTGGAACCGCACTCGGAGATTTCTCTGAGGCCGTCTCTGTCTCCATATCATCCTAGGACGACAGTTCAAGTGGCTAGAGACTGCTCTGCCACCCAGGAGCTGATAGTATAAGGAGGAGAAGCTGAAGGCCCAGGGCTTCACAAGGTGCCTGAGCCAGACTCTTTCCAGACCTGGAGCTTTAAGAGAACTGCCTACATCGGAGTGACTCTGTGGGGAGAAGGGCCTGTCAGATATCGTTGGAAACTGTCCCAACCTGCTCCAGGGTGATGTTAGTGGCTCCCTTAAGAATCTCTACTGTGAGACAGTTGCCCTGCGGGGTGAGCAAGAAGCCAAAGCAGGGGTGTTAGGCACCCTGCCTCACCTGCAGACAGATATTCAGCCAAGACACAGAGGATGCCGTGGAATCATTGCGATGGGGTTTGAGTGTTTTGTCCCACGCCAACCCCCACCTCCAACCCCCACCACCGCCTCTGCTGCCACCATCACCACCCTTGTCGCTGCCGCCACTGTCTGTCCCCACTCTCCCCACCCCCCAAACCCCTGTTTGCTTTTTTTGGCTAGAGCAAAGTTGTACAACTATTGCAGCCTACCACCTGGAGATTAATTAAATCCAGTGTATATTCGTTTGGCTTTTTTTTTTTTTTTTGGTCAAAGGACAATAAAATACCAAAACGGAACTTGTTTCTCCTTGTGATTTAAAATACAAAATGCGCAAATGTGCGGTGGTGGCATATGTTTTTAGTCCCAGCACTCCAGGGGCAGAGGCATGCTTGATCTCTGAGTTTGAGGTCAGAATGAGCTCCAGGACAGCCAAGGCTACACACAGAGAAATCATGTCTCGAAAAACCAAAATAACAATAAAAAAAAATAATAAATATAAATAATTCAAAATGTACAAAAATGGATCCAGAGAAGTTAAAAAACTTGCATTTTTCTTTTCTTTTCTTTTTTTTTTTTTGGTTTTTCGAGACAGGGTTTCTCTGCATAGTCCTGGCTGTCCTGGAACTCACTCTGTAGACCAAGGCTGGCCTCGAACTCAGAAATCCGCCTGTCTCTGCCTCCCAAGTGCTGGGATTAAAGGCGTGCGCCACCACCGCCCGGCCAACTTGCATTTTTCTAAAGGATATTCACATCTGAGACCTGGAACGACTCCAGCTCCCAAGACGCCTTCCTCAAGATGTTATTTAATAAAGGAAGATTTACTAATCTTCCAGCATGCCTTTCACATTCATGGCTTATTTTTTGACTTCCTGACGCTTTCCTTTCCCCACCCCAGGAGACAATAAACCCCACCACAACAGGAATATTTGTTCTATGCACACGCAGTTGGAATAGTGCCTAACACAACTCTGATGCCAAGAATGTCTGTGGAATGGATGAGTGTATCAGAGGCAGTGAGCATATTGTTTTTATGACATTTTTGATTCGTGTATGTGTGTATGTTCTGCATCTTGGTATCAGATATGTTTCTTTCTGTAGGGCATGATGAAAAAACCTCAGGCAGTTACTGCCATGGCATGAATAATTCCACATTGAAGAGCAAAGGAAACGCATGTGTACTGAGCCGGCAGTCCTTAGTCACGTGGACGTCTTGTGGCGAGGTAGGTCTCTCACTCGGACATCTTGTGGAGCGGTAGGTCTTGACTCAGCCGGTTGGAAGGGACTACGAGGCCTGATGTTTTCACCAAACTCGCAGGTACTGGTGCATGGAAAAATGCATTTTTTATGTTTAGTTATTTTAGATTTATTTTATTTTATGTGCACGAGGGTTTTGCCTCTGTGTATGTGTATCCACCACATTTGTGCCTGGTGTCTGAGGAGGTCAAAAGGTGGTGTTGGATCCCTTTAAGCTGAATTTATGAATGGTTGTGGATTGCCATGTTGGTGCTGGGAACTGAATCTGAGTCCTCTATAAGAACAACAAATACTCTTACTCGCTGAGCCGGTTCTCCAGCCCATATCATGAGAAAAAA